GTGGACAATACATTAAGTAAAACAAGCCAGTCACAGGAATTCAAATACTGAATGATCTCACATACATATAGAAAATAAAATAGTCAAATTCATAGAAACACATAATAGTGGGAAGAGGGAGAGAGACCAGAACACACACACACACACACACACACACACACGCAAGCTCCCCATTTCTTGCCACATGATGTCCTGTGTTACCTTTTGACTCTGTCAAACAATTTGACATAAATGAAGGAAAATAAAACAGAAAAAAATAATGACTAATGAAAGAAAAAAAGTGGCCAAACCACAATTCAGTATCCAGTAGGGGCTGGGACTGTAGCTCAGTGGCAGAGTACTTGCTTAACACGTGTGAGGCAATGGGTTCGATCCTTAGCACCACATAAAAATAAAAAAAAATAAAGGCATTCTGTCGATCTACAACAAAAAAATTTTTTTTAAAGTTTCTTTTAAAAACAAAAACTGAATATTAAAAAAAAAACACAATGATGGTGATATGTCAGAGGGATACAAGAACCAAATAAAAGATGTTCCCATGGTCCAAGTGAGAACAATTTCAGTAACAAAATATAGCAAATTTAGACTACAACTCAAAATATAAAATAAGTACTTTTGTGTCCATACTGACAGAAAATGATTGAATAAATAGATGAATGGAAGAGAAAAAGCAAACTTTCCAAAAAGAATTTGAAATAGTTTGAAAGATAGTAGATACTATAACCTCAAAGGGGTGGAACATAACTCCACACCTCCACATTTCTATGAGGTCCTGACTAAGAGAAAACTTATAAGAAAGAGAAGAGGTTATAACCACAACCCTGATTACCACACTTAGTGCTGGAGTTGTAATTGACACTCATCATCCCCACTGTCCATTCATATTTTTCCTTCCCTTCACTATCACCTTGGTAAGTCTGGGTGCTTTGTCTAGAGGTGTGACCGAGCCTTCATTTCTGCAGAGTCTAATAACTGTCTTACAAATTTGGTAGGCTTATTCCTAAATAAATATATTAGGATTTTCATGCTATTACTATTATTTTTAATCTTTAGCCTTTTCTTTCTTTCTTATATGTAGTAATTCTATAAATTTTTACATTGCTTTTGCAATAATAAAAATAGTTAACCTTTATATAATACTTCCTATGTGCCAGGTATTATTCTAAATCCTTTAAATTAAATTAAGTCTAACAATAACTTGGTGGAGATCTATATAATTACCACTAGTCCTTTCTTAAATTAGAAAATGGCACTAAGAAATTAAACAATTTACTCAAAGCCATAAAATATATATGGTAAAGGTGAGATTTAAACCAAGGAAGTCTGGCTTTACGATTTTATTTTTATTTTCTTGTATGTGGATGCTATCTAGTACCTGTGTTCCAATGTTAAATAAAAGTGGCTAAAATAGACTTCCTTGTCTCATTTCAAATTTAGATTTGTTTTCATGTTTTCCTGGGAAATTCATTTCTATTCCTAGCTTGTTTAGAATTTGCTTTTAAATTATGAGTCTCTATTAATTTGAGGGTGGAGGCATGTTCAAAAATTACTTACTAAGGAACTATTCTAGGATAATATCAATGAACAAAACAGAAAATACTCTTGATGCATGCCAGCTATTTAATTTTTTTTTTTGGTATGTTAGCTATAAATTTATTAGGATAAGCAAGATCAATAATACAGTGTCAAATGAGGAAGGAAAGTTGGTGGGCCTCATTAGGAAGGTAGAAAAACTGGAAGGAGATGAAGAAGTGAACCACACAGATATGTGGGAGAAAAGAATCCTAGATAGACAGAACAGTTGGTACAAAGTTTCTGACTTGGAGGCAAAATCTGACTATACAAAGAATAAGAGTTAAAAAGGATGTGTGGAGTGGAGTGAGGGTGAGGTAGATTAGTTGGACATGAAGCAGAGAGGCAAATGTATGCCCTTACTGATATTTTCTGTTTGGTGAAACATCATTTTCCTTATTTCCTTTAGTTATTTCCTTTACCTTTTTAAGTATATTTAAGATAGTTGATGTAAAGTCTTGGTCTAGCAAACTTCACATTCACACTTCTTCAGGGGCAATTTCTGTTCATCTATCCTAATAATGGGTCATTGTTTCCCATTCTTCCCTCTTTTGTTGTTGTTGTTGTTGTTGTTGTTGTTGTTGAAGCTAGGCATTTGGAATCTTATAATATTAAAAAAAAAAAGAAAGAAAGAAAGAGAAACTCTACAGGTCTTTTCTGATTTGCTCAGATTTGGAGGCACTCCTTTAATGATTAGCCAACTATTTAAACTATCTTAGCCTTCAATTCCTGCTTTCCCTGAAGCTAAAGACCAACTAGCAGTGAAAGCCTAATGTTTTGCAGGCTCTTTTCTGAGCATGTATCATGCCTGGGACATGTGAATAGCTTTCTAAGTTCCCTGGTACACATACAAGGGGCTTTTCAAACCCCTTAGTTCTTGAAGTTCATAACTTCTCAGCTTTTCCTTTCCAAATATCCATGTGCCTATTATTTGCTTCAACTGATACTTTTTGCTTCAGGTAGCAATAGCTTATTCATTTTTATTTCAATATTTTCAGGGAATCTGCTCTCTGTAGCCATAGCTCTTTCTCTGCCCTGAGATTTCCAAGTTAGGCAAAACAAAAGCAAATTATGTCAATCCCTCAGAGAACCCACAGAGAAGATAAAACAGACAAATGTAATTTCTTAGGAACAAAGACTAGGTGTCCACTCTGGACTTGTGGGCTGTCATTTCAAGACTATCACTGCATTGCAGGGGTAAAGGGTTCAGGGTAAAACGTAACAAATTTCTTCCCCCCTATTTAGGTAGCTTTCTCCTGGTTAAAAGTTTATTTGGGGCTTACACTCTCAGAGATCTCAGTCCAGAGATAGCTTTCTCCTGGTAGCTTTCTCCGGCCCTAACACAAGACAGTATCCTTCTGGGACCAAAAAAGCCTTCAAACAGAAACGCACAGTATTTTTTCTTTTCTTTTTTTGGTTCATATTCTCTCAGGAAGAATAGTTCTTTTGATGTCTGTTGCCCAATGTTTGAAAACAACTATTTCTCATATATTTTGTGCTTCTTTCTTTCTTCTGCTGTTTCTTTTTCTTTTTTCTTTTCCCTTCTCTCCTTCCTTCCCTCTTTCATTCTAGCAGAAGGCAAGCCTAGTACCAAGTACAACAACATTTCAGAAGTGGAAGTTCCCTATCTCATTAAGTTATTTTCTTTATTTTTTCTTTTATGTATTACATTTATTGTTATCTTTTTGTAACCTGTTAGGTTAAATGCTTACCTTATGAATTTTGAGTACTTATTTTTATCTTCAATATACATCTGAGACTATGTGGTTCCTTTAATGTGCTATTTTAGCTACATTCATATGGCTTAATATATGGTATTTACAACATACTTCTGAATATGCTATGTCTTTTTTAAGTTCTTCTTAGTTGCACAGAGTATTTAGAAATATTATCTTTATCTTATTAATTTTTAATTAAATTATAGTCAGCATATATTTTCTATTTATCAGTTATTTTTAAATTTTGAGAATTAATTTATGACATGAATGGTCAATCTTGGTAAATATTCTATGAATGCTTGAGTTTTTATTTTGTATCATCCAATTTATCAAGTTTATCAGTTCTGTTCTATATCTTTATTAATTTTATGTGCTTAATTTGGCACTTATTTAGATATCTATGTTGAAATCTTACATCATGATGATTAACTTGTCCACTAATGTTTATAGTTAGGTCAATTTTTTTTTGTTATTCTGAGGCTTTGTTATTAAAAGTATAATGTTCAGAAGTAAATTAGATTCATGGAGGCCTGAACCTGTTGACATTATTTGTGTGTATGTAGATACATGATAGATAGATAGATAGATACATTTTGTCTTAATAGCACTTTTTTAAAAATGTATTTTATGATGACATAGTGACTCAAATATTTTTAAGTAGTGAAATACGACAACTTTAAGTTGTATTAACTTATTCCCACAGTATTTACCAGTTCAATTCTAACTAAAGTCTGATTAGGAGAGACTGCACTTGTTTTTCACTTAAGGATAAAGAAAAGAGTATTTTCCCATTGAAAAATATTATATTCCTACATGTCAGGCTTCTCTGTATCTTCCACCCTAGTGCTGGACCAAGAATATTTTATATAAGAAAGGAAAGAAATAGACACACACAGGTACACATAACAAAGCACTGAACAGGTATAAACACATAACAAAGCACTGTTTAAGTCAGTTTTTTTACTACTATGACTAAAAGACCTGACAAGAACAATTTTAAGGAGGAAAAGTTTATTTGGGGCTCACAGTTTCAGAGGTCTCACAGTTTCAGAGGCTTATTGCTGGGGGCTCAATGTAAGACAGAGTGTAGTAGAAGGAAGTGACTTACATGATGATCAGAAAGGAGGGAGGGAGGGAGGGAGGGAGAGGGAGAGAGAGAGAGAGAGAGAGAAAGAGAGAGAGAGAGAGAGAGACACGCTAAGGTCAGCTCACTAAAATATAGCCCCAAAGGCATGTCCCCAGGGACCCCCCCACCTCCTCTAGCCACACCCCAGCCTACTGTTACTCAGGGGATTAATTCACTGATTGGTTTAATACTCTTAAAACCCAATCATTTCACCTCTGAATATTCTTGCATTGTCTCTCAGGTGAGCTTTTGGGGGACACCTAATATCTGAACTATATAGCATACAAATCATTAAAAATATCTCAAAAAAAAGCAAGAAAGGATGCACTTGTATTTTGGTTATTAGAGAATACTTCACTTCCGTGGTCACATACTCAGCAGACTTTTATATACTACGTTGTATTCAGTAACCATATGTTGTTGTTTTTTTGCCATCTATCAGGCACTAAGCTACATATCATGTATGTCTATTTTCAATAAGTAGACACCACTTGGGCAGTGTTTTAGTTAGCTTTTATGTTGCTTTGACTTAAAGACTCAACTAGAACAACTATAGAGGAAGAAAAGTTTATTTGGGGACTCACAGTTTTCAAGGACTTAGTCCATAGAAGGCCAGCTCCATTCCTCCAGGCTTGAGGTGAGGCAGAACATCATGGCAGAAGAGTGTGGCAGAAGAAAGCAGCTCACATGATGATCAAAAGGCAGAGAGAGAGAGAGGACTTCATTTGCCAGATACAAATATATACCCCAAAACCACGCCCCGAATTACCAGATCCCCCCAGCCACACTCTACCACTTCAGTTACCACTCAGTTAATCCCTAACCAGGGTTAATTCACTGATTGCGTTAAGACTCTCACAACCAAATCATTTCTAATGGACTAATCATTTCTCCTCTGAACTTTCTTGCATTGTCTCACATGTGAACTTTTGGGAGATACCTCACATTCAGACCATAATAGGCAACTTGCTTCATTTTTCCTTTGCTCCAAATTCCTTATGTTTTAAAAGAAGACAGTAATGTCAGCTGGTCTTCTGAAATGCTTTTTAGTGTTATAAGTTTATGAGAGAAACACTCTTTTATGCATGTTCCTTGGGGATTAAAAAAAAAAAACACCCTACATTTAAAAATAAAAAAGCAATCATAGATTATGCTATTGTTCTAAAGTATGCATATCAATAAGGAGGAGAAAGTAAAGTTTCAATAATAACTCAAAAAAAAAAGAATTATGTGTACACACACAGAGACACAACATACATTATCATTTAAAAAATGTTTCCAAGTAATGAGAACACTGATAAAAGGGCAATTTAATAACTTCAGTAACTGATGGGTTCATTGCTAGGATTTTATTGATCTACTTGTCTACAAAAATAATCTCCTTTTGCACTACTCATCTATTTGTGCTTTGCTATATTTGCAAAATTTTTCTCCTTTGCTAAATTCTCTGTTTACCAGTAATTAAATGTTTTTTTTTCTACTTTCATTTTTGGATTTGTTCATGAAGTTCATAACAGAACTTATTTTATTGAATAGATTAATTACGGAACTATACTATATTTATTAAGTTTTAAAAAAAATTCTTCTGTATATCTTAAGATGCTTTGTAATTTTAAAAAGTTTGCTGTCCCCAAAGAGATTGCCCCTGCTGGGGATAGTCAATCTTTAGACAGGAAATAGCCCATCTTAAATAAGTCAACCAAGTTCAAGTTGATAGCCTGAATCGCCCCCTGAGCTATCACACACCAAACCATTATTTCTCTTGCCCATAGTCAGTTCAGGATCAGGCCAGGAAACTGTCAAATTCTTTGTTCTGACTTGCCTTGCCTTTCTCATAGGAATCCCAAAAGGCTATGGCCTAGACTATTGCTCTACTCTTGTCTTCTGCCTCATGACCAAAACCTGGTGCATCCCTGGTGGCCCTACTGACACACACTAGCCCTCTTCCTGGGACCTTTAAGTATTACAGACTTTTTCCCCAGATCTTTTATTATTTATTTATGATAGTGGAAGGCATTACAATTCTTATTATGTATAGAGAGCACAATTTTTCATATCTCTGGTTGTATACAAAGTATATTAACACCAATTATTGTCTTCATACTTGTACTTTGGATAATAATAATCACCACATTCCACCATCATTAATAACCCCATGCCCCCTCCCTTCCCCTCCAAGCCCTCTGCCCTAATCTAGAGTTTGTCTATTCCTCCCATGCTCCTGCTCTCTATCCCACAATGAATCAGCCTCCTTATTTTAAAAGAAAACATCTGGCATTTGGTTTTTTGGGATTGGCTAACTTCACTTAGCATTATCTTCTCTAACTCCATCCATTTACCTGCAAATGCCATGATTTTATTTTCTTTTATTGCTGAGTAATATTACATGGTGTATATATGCCACATTTTTTAATCCATTCATCTTTTGGTTCCACAGTTTAGCTATTGTGAATTGTGCTGCTATAAAGACTGATGTGGCTATGTCCCTGTAGTATGCTGTTTTTTAAGTATTTTGGGTATAGACAAAGGAGAGGGAAAGCTGGGTCAAATGGTGGTTCCATTTCCAATTTTCCAAGAAATCTCCATACTGTTTTCTATATTGGCTGAACAAATTTGCAGTCCCACCAGCAATGTATGAGTGTACCTTTTCCCCCACATCCTCGCCAACACTTATTATTGTCTGTATGCATAATAGCTGCCATTCTGACAGGAGTGAGATGAAATCTTAGAGTGGTTTCTTCTTAGCAAAAGAAACAATCTGTAAGATGAATAGGAAGCCTACATTTTGGGAGCAAATCTTTACCCCTCACACATCAGATGACTAATCTCTAGGGTATATAAAGAACTCAAAAAGCTAAACACCAAAAGAAAACAAATAACCCAATCAATAAATGGGCCAAGGACCTGAAGAGACATTTCTCAGAAAATGATGTACAATCACTCAACAAATACATGAAAACATGTTCATCATCACCAGCAATTAGAGAAATGCAAATCCCCAGATCTTGTTCTCATTTCTTCCCATAATCTTACACTGACCTTACAACACCACATTCAACATTTACTTTCCTACAACATATACAGTACAGGACATTTGACTTTGTAAATAAGCAGACTGAGATGCTTCAGACCTGTGGGTAGTTGCTCAGTAAAGGCTTATAAAAGACAACTTTCAAGGGCCACAGTTACTTAGAGATATTAACAAACTAGCTTTCAGCTCAAAAACAAAGAAAATAGGAAATAAAATCAGAATATTGTTTTTAGGACTGCTAACAGGTATTACTTAGTGGAAAAGGAATTGAGCTTAAAATATTGAATGTTCTATAACTCTACATTGCTTATATATGTTTAACAATAGAATAAGACAAAGAGTACTAATTTAGGACAGGAAAGATTATAAAAGGAAATCTTAGTGCATGAAGTGCTATATCAATAAATGAAATAAATTGATCCATTCCACCATACAGCTTTTTCTCCAAGTACTCTGCAAGTACACACATGTCTAGTTTCCTAGGTCTTTTATAACAATTACAAGTGCCTTTCATCCTGAATTTTTCCAAAGCAGAACTGGATAATAAAAGCCTTTTTTCAGCAAATAGTAGTAGTAGTATACTAGTAGGCAAAAGTCCCAACACAGTTAAGATGAGAAGTGTTTACAGACACATAAACTATGCACATGTGGCTCTGATGGGATTGTGTCTACTAGCGATATTTACCATAGTCAGTGCTGATTAGAAAAAATCCAACTCTGGGAATCTTCAGCCAATGGGAAGGACTAACTATTAAGGAATAAAATCATGCACTAGAGATATAAATCTCCAAATCTGAAGCATTGCCCTCAGCGGGACTGGGAGAGGTTATGCTTATTCATTCATATATTTGGTAAATATTATTTTGAATTTTTATATGCAGGCACAATTCTCTGTGGTGGAAATAGAGCAGTCAAGTGAAAAACTTTATCACCTTTGTGGTACTGATATTGTAACAGAGGGACATGGAAATCAATCAGCAAATATTTTTAATAATGTTATTACTTCAGAGAGTCTTAAATGTTATAAAGAATATAAATCAGAAATTGCAGATTAAAGGTAATTTATTGGGGAATGGGGAAGAAAGCTGAATAAGATAGGGTCCTTATATAATGCAAATTTCAGAAAAGACATCTGAACTAAGATGAGACAGAACTGTGAGAAAGACAGTCCCATGAAAATAAGGACAGGATTCAGTGCCAGTGAGACACTAGCAAGGTAAGAATGGGCTCAAAACCATGTTCCTTGCCCAGTAGTTGAGATCTGGAGTATCAACAATGATAATCTGTGGCAGGGAGGAGTGGAAAAGGCACAGTTAAGAAGGGAAAAACATAGCAGAACAGTTCAGCATTCATTCATCCCTCAGTATCTGTGGAGAATGGACTATGCCCTCCACCATACCAAAATCTGCACAAGCCCAATCCCTTTATGTAAAATTATAAAATGGCATACATTATTGTATAAATCTGTGCATATCATCCTAATATATTAATTCACCTCTAGATTAAATTTAATATTTAATATAATGTAAATGATATATAAGTAGCTGTTATACTGTGTTGTTTAGGGGATAATAACAAATAAAAGTCTGTATATGTTAAGCAGAGATGCAGTTTTTTTTTCCCTAACATTTTTTGAACTGTAATTGGCAGGGAAAAAGTAACAGGAAAAAGGAGATAGTATATCCTAAGGAACAAAGGGTCTGAACTAGTAGGTTGAGGGGCTTTATAAAATCTCTGTGTGAAGACAAGAAGACAAAGTTAAATCAGAGACTGCCAGAAGCAAGATGATAATTCTAAAATTGATGTATGTTTTATTTAGACAGTTTGGAAAAGATGCATCTCTTCCTTTATCAGGGAAAAGATCTCTCTTACCCACTTTTTCTCTATTTTTGATGTGGTCTCCTGTTTACTCCTCAAATATATTTCTACAGAATACTTGCTTATTAAATGCCTGCAGAGGTTACTCATGAAGTGGAAGATGTTTAGGTAAGAACTATATGGAGTTCAGTCACAGGTCATTTGAAAAGGATAAATATATTGAGGAGAGAGGAACTGTAGCATGCAACACACAAACAATGTAAAGCAGAGGCAATTCTGAATACCTGATGGTTATTTTGAATTACTCCATCTGATCATAAGTATCTCCAGAAATCTTTGTGAAAGTGTAACCTTTACCTGGGTTTCATTTTTAATTAAAGTTTGTATCTTTTCCAGATCTTATCAGTGAAGGAAGAAAGAGCAGTCACACAACTGGTAAGAGCCAACGTATATAGCATACCAGGCTCAAAATTAATGGTGGCAAAGATAATTAACAGATAATGTCAATGCAATGAAGTGTTGTCACAAGATAATGGTCTCCTGCTGCTATATAAATGTTGAAGTTAAGCCCATTTTTCAAAAACAAATGTCAAAGTTGAGACAGGAATTTTTATCCCACAAAATAATAACCTTTACACAATGCTCTATTATAATAATGTATTCCTAAAACATTATACCTTGCTCTAAGAAAATGCTAGAAAAGGTAATCCTTTTATAATAGTGATGCTATAATTGTGTCATTTATTATTTGTTATAATAGCTAATGTTATGATTATTTGACTCAATCAGAATCTGGCTGCTTTATTTTTAAAAATTTAGAAATGTTTATTTTAGTTTACTTTTCAGTACATCTAGTTATTCTCTTACTATTTGTATAGGAACTTTTTATAAGCTCTTCTTGAAAACACAGATTAGCACCTGAGAGTCCAAATGGCAGATTATGCCCTTCATTATCAATAAGCATGTCTTATTAATAATATTATTAAATTACTTATTATATTTCAGTCTAATACCTTCAATTGAACATTATAGTTTAATATGCCAATTTAAAAATTAACTAACGTTTTTCTTTCTAAGGAATATATCTTTCTAAACCCCCAAGTAATTGGAGGTAATATCACAAACCAAGATGACAACCAAGTAATCACATTAATAAATATTGGAGGCTATTATCACAGTTAGAAACTTTTATGTAACCTATTTTATCTCAAATCACTTTATGAGAATAATTTTGTGCCAATTATCAATTTATTGTCTTTCAGCTTAAAATCTTCTTTTACTTCCTGCTATGCAATAATGGAGGCAGGCCTTGTAAATATTTCTTTGCCAGCTGGCATGATGCTAAGTTTGTAATGCAGAGTTCTTGGATGACCGAAAAGAAAGAAATACCCATCTTCTTGTCTTCTTTTGGTAAACTCCTGCTGTGTGCAGCTGCCAACAGACTTCTTCATGGGCAGCTTCTCTCAGAAGGCAGCTTCCTAGCACACAATCCTGGTGGGAAGCTTCCCAATGCATCACCTTTGTAGAAGATCATCAGCGAACTCCAGTGTAGTACTATAGAAAATGTCTCCACGATCCTATGGGCCACTGCCATACCCTCTCCAACAAGATCTGGGTCTCAACCCTAGAAGTGAGTTCTTCTATAGTTTGTTCCTTCCCTGTGCTTTGCCTCAGACATTAAGATCTTGTGTACTTCTGTTCTTCTTGTATTCTAAAGAATTTTTTTTTTTTTTTGCAATAGTAGGTAGTTGATCATGTTATAGTTAGGGTTGGGTCTAAAATATTCCCTAAAGTCTTTTGTGTTGAAAGTTTGACCCCCAATGCAACAATGTTCAGAGGTAGGGCACTAATTAAACTCATCATGGCTTAATCCATTGATAGCTGAATCAGTGGAATACTGTGGAAACTGTAGGTGGTGAGATATGGTTGGAAGAAGTGCATCACTGGGGACATGTCCTAGAAAGGTATTTCTTGTCCCCAACCCTTTCTTCCCTCTCACCTTCACTCACCCTCTTTCTTGCATTCTGTTCCCTGCTGACATGACCTGAACAGCTTTCCTTTGCCATGCCATTCTGCCATGATGTCTTGCCTTCCCTCAAGCCCAAAGCAATGGAGTAAGTCAACCATAAACTGAAACTTACAAAACCATGCACCAAAATAAATCTTTCCCCCTTTGAGATATTTATCAGGCATTTTTGTCTCAGTTACAAAATCATTCATCAGTTTTTAAATAATTCATTTTAAAGTGTATAATGTAAGGGCTATGGATGGAACTCAGTAGTAGAGCACTCACCTAACATGCTCAAAGCCCTGGGATTGATTCCCAGAATGAAAAAAAAAAAAAGATATTAAGTTTATATTAAGTAGTTACATCTCATTACCAAGGAAACAAAGAAAGTGTGTAATTCAGTACATTTAATACATTCACAGTGTTGCATAACAACCACCTAGTTCTATATAGTTCTAAGACATTTTCATTACCCCTAAAGAGAACCCCATAGTCATTAAGTGATCATTCCTTCATCTCCCCTTTGTCCTAGCCTCTTGCAAATAAAAATCTACTTTATAATTTCACATGTTTATTTATGCTATTTATTTAAAAATAAGTAGTGCCACATAATATGTGAAATTTTTTGTTCTTTTTTCACATAGCACTATGGGTTAGTTTTCAATGTGTATCTACTTTGAAGTCTGCATCAATACTTCATTCTGTTCTAAGCTGTGTAACTTTCTATTCTATGTCTTATACCATATTTGTCTATTCATTCACTGAATGACATTAGGGTTGTGTGCACTTTTTAGCTATTGCAAACAGTGATACCATGAATATTCATGACCAAATATTTATTTGAGTACCTATTTTCAATTCTTTGGGAAATGTAACCAGAAGTGAGTTTGCTGGATCATATGTTTACCTTTCTGAGGTATCACAAACTGTTTTCCATAGTGGCTGTACTATTTTATATTCCAATCAGCAATGTACAAGAATTCAAAATTCTTCACATTTTTATTATTAGTTATTTTCCTGTTTCTTTTTTGATAGCCATACTAGACGATGTGAAGTAGTATCTTATCATGGTTTGGGTTTGCATTTCCTTGATGACTAAGGCTGTTGACCATCTTATCATGTGTTCAACACTGTAAGCACATTGGCCATTTCTGTATCTTCTCCAGAGAAGACTATTCAAATCACTTGCCCATTTTTAATTTGAGTTGTGTGTCATTTTGCATTGAGTTATAATATTTCTTTATGTATCCTGAATAATAAATCTTTATAAGATATAGAGTTTACAAATATTTTCCCCATTGTATATATTCCTTTTTATTTTCTTGATAATGTTATTTGATGGGGAAAAGTTTAAAATTTTTATGTCATCGGATTTGTTTAATTTTTCTTTTATACTTTTGTGTCTTATTAAAAAGAATCAATTGCCAAATTCAACATCATGACAATTTACCCTCATGTTTTCATTTAAGGGTTTTATACTTTTGGCCCTTATAGATAGGTCACTAACCCATTTGGAGGAAATTTTTGTATAATGTGAGGTAATCACTGTCTTTATTCCTTGCGTCAGAATCAGTAGTTGAAAGGAATATTTTTACTGAAGAATTGACTGGATCAGGAGGGCTCTAAACTCATCAGTGGATTAATCCATTGAGAGTTGAATTAATAATTGACACCCTTGTCAAAAATCCATTGGGTAGAGATATATGGGTTTATTTCTGGATTCTTAATTAAATTACATCTGTCCATATGTCTGTAATTAGAACCATAGCCCAGTGATAAGCATTGAAACCAGAAAATGTGAGGGCTTCCACTTTTATATTTTTATTTTGGTTTGAATATTCAGGAAATCTCCCAATTCCATATGAATTTGAAGATTGATATTTCTCAATTCTGCAAAAAATAATATGATAGAATTTTGATGGAGACTGCATTAAATTTATAGAACACTTTGGGTAGTATTGCCTTCTTAATAATATTAAGTCTTTCAATGCACATAAACCCAAATTAGAAAAGAGGTAAATTGTATTCACACATACCCACTGCGCCACATTCCCAGATCTTTTATTTCTTATTTTGAGACAGGCCTTCACTAAGTTGCCTTGCTGAATTGCTGAAGCTGGCTTTGAACTTTAAATCCTCCTGCCTCAGCCTCCCAAGCCATTAGGATTATAAGTGTGCACCACTGCATGCAGGTTCTTTCCTTTTATTCATGTGTTTTATTACATTGTTTTCTTACTTCAAATCACCCTTTGAATTCCTGGGGAAAATCCCATATGGTCATACTATATAATTCTTTTAATGTGCTGTTGGAGTTGGCTTACTAATACTTTGTTGATTTTTGCAAATTCATTCATAAAGGATATTGATCTATACTTTTCTTTGACTGTGATGTTACAAATTGAGTTACTTGTGATAGTTCTACTCAGATTTCTTATTGTCTTTTCAGTAAGACTTGATTACTTGTGTGTTTCTAGGAATTTGTGCATTTTATTTACTTTATCTATGCAATTGCTTTTTTCATTCTCTTATTTCATTCTCATAAAATACTTTTAATATCCATAAGGTCATTAATTATATAATTCATTTCTGATTTAGATACTTGCATGTCTTCTGGTATTTATTTTTCTTAGTCAAATTTGTTGATATTATTTCAGAGTCAATTTTGATTTCATTGATTTTTCTCTAATGTTTTCATATCTCCATTATACTATTTCTTTATCCTTCGGTTAAATTCTGGTTTAGTTATTATTTTTTTCTAATTCCTTATGGAATAAAGTTGGCTTCTAATCTTATTATTTTTTAAATTTACTCAAAATACAAGTTTCCTACCAATCATTGCTTAACCTGCCTCCCATATGTTCCGGTATCTTGTTTGTTTTCATTAATCTCTGAACACACTCTAATTTCTATCATGGATTTCTTCTTTGACTCATTGCTTATTTAAGGGTGTGTCATTTAATTCCCATACATTTGTGAATTCCATATCCCCTTTTTCTGTTCATTAATTTCTAGCTTTACTCATTTGAGAAGATGCTTTGTATAATTTTTATCACTTTAAATTTAATAAGATATGCTTTGTGACTTAATAAGTGGTCTATCTTAAAGAACATTATGTGCACTCTGGAGGAATATGTGTTCTGATGTTAGGTAGAATTTTCTATAGACATATTTGGTCTAGATGTTTTATAGTGTTCTTTGAGTCCTTATTTCCTTTTATTTCCTTATCATACCTTTCTCTAGATGTTTTATGCATTATTAAAGGTGGAATAAATTTTCAACTATTATTTTAGAACTATTTCTCCTTTCAATGTGTCAATGTTTGCTTCAAATGTAACATTAAGGCTCTGTTGTTTCATCAGCCTAGGCTTATCATTTTTATATCTTTTGATGAATTAACAGTTTCATTGATATATAATACCCTTCTTTGTCTCTTTTACCAATTTCTGACTTAAGCAGTATATTACTGACTTATAACCATCCCTCTTTTTCTATTTTGTTTTTATTAGTGAATGATAGTTATATAAAATTGTTGAATTCATCTTGACATAATCACACATGCATAGAATTTAATTTACTCCATTTCAGTTCTCAGTGTCCCCCTTTTCCGTCCCCTCTGCACTTCACTTATTATTCTTCCTCTAATCTACTAGTCAACTTTCCAATCATATTTATTTTTAATTGGTACTTTATTGATTTAAATAAAGGTGGAATTCACTGTGGTGTATTTATACACACACAGAGTACTTCTGTCAAAATCATTCTGTATTTCCTCCCCTTTCTCTCCATTTCCTTTAACCCACTGGTCTTCTGTCTTTATGATAGCTGAACTACCTGGCCTTTTTTCCCTTACTTTGCTCTACCTTCTGCATATGAGATAAAACATGTGACCCTTGATTTCCTGAGTCCGGCTTATTTCACTTAGCCTATGTTCTCCAGTTCTACCTATTTACCAGAAAATACCATAATTTCATTCTTCTTTATGGCTCAGTAAAGCTCCATTGTGCACATATACCACATTTTTTTAATCTATACATCAATGTGCATGGATTACATCTATGTGTGGTTCCATAGATATAAATATTGATGTGGCTATATCACTATAGTATGTTAATTTTAGTTCTTCTGAATAAATAGCAAGGAGTGGGATAGTTGGGTCACACAGTGGTTCCATTCCTAGGTTTTTGAGGAATCTTCATATAGCTTTCTAGAGTGGTTGTACTAATTTGCAGTCCCACCAACAATATATAAGTGTATCTTTTTCTCCAAATCTTTGCCAATACTTTTTACCATATTCTTCCATTCTTACTGGACTAAGATGAAGTCTTATAGTAATTTTAATTTGCATTTCTCTAATTGCTAGAAACTTTGAACTTTTTTTTCATATATTTGTTGGCTATTTGTGTTCTTGAAAAATTTCTGTTTAGTTTGTTTAGTTCTTTTGCCATTTGTTGATTGGGCTATCTGCTTTTGTTTTTTGTTTTTGTTTTTGTATTTATTTATTTATTTATTATTGTTGTTATTTTGATGTTAAGCTTTTTGAGCTTTTCATGTATTACGAATATTAATCCCATGTCAGAGAAGTAGCTATCAAAGATTTTCTCACATTGTGTAGGTTCTCTCTGACATTTGAAGCTTTTCAGTTTGATGCCATTCTGCTTATTGATTCTTTGAATTATTTCTTGAGTTTTCAAGTCTTGTTAAGGAAGTCTCTACCTGTGCCAATATGTTGGAGTGTTGATCCTATAGTTTCTTCTAGCAATTTCAAAAATCTTGTCTAAGTCTTAAGTCTTTGATCCACATTGACTTTTGTGCAGGGTAAGAGATAGGGATCTAGTTTCATTCATCCACATATGGATATCCATTTTTTCACCACCATTCATTTAAAAGGCTATTGAAAATTAATTTACTGTATATTTTTGGCACTTTAGTCAAGTATCAAATTACTGTATCTATGTGGATTTGTCTCTGTGTCTTTTATTCTATTCCACTAGTCTTCATATCTGATTCTTATGTTAATGTCATGCTGTTTTTGTTACTATAACTCTGAAGTATAATTTGAGATCAAATACTGTGATGCTTCCAGTACCACTCCTCTTGCTCAAGATTTTTGTTCTAGTCAACTTTTTTTTTTACACTTTGACCAAAATTCCCAACAAGAACAATTTTAGAGGAGTAAATGTTTATTTGGGGTGTCACAGTTTCAGAGGTGTCAGTTCAGAGATTACCAACTTCATTGCTCTGGGCTAAAGGAGAGGCAGAACACCATGGTTGCAAGATGTGGTGGATGAAAGCAGTTGGAATATGGCACCCTCAGAGGAGACAGAAAGGACTGTCCTTTCCATTAATAAAATAAACTGAAAGGCACACCTGAATAACCCACTTCCGTCATTCACACTCTACCTGCCTACAGTCACCACTCAGTTAATCCCATCAGGGGTTTAATTCACAGATTGTGTTAAGGCTCTAAACCTTGAGCTGTCTCACACATGAACTTTTGGGGGACACTTCACATCTAAACCATAACAATTGCATTAACAATTCTGAGTCTTTATTCTTCTAAATGAATTTTAGTACTGTTTTTTTCCCAGTTCTGTGAAGAATGTCCTCAGTATTTTGATGGGCTTTGCATTGAAACTGTATATTGTTTTTGGTAATATGGCCAGTTTGACAATGTCAACTCTGCTTATCCCAGAAGATTGGACATCTTTCTGTCTTCTGAGGTCTTCAATTTCTTTCTTCAGTGTTCTATATTTTTCATTGTAGAGGTCTTTCACCTCCTTGGTTAGATTAATTCCCATGCATTTTATTTATTTGTTTGTTTGTTTTTTAGTTTATCATGAATGGGAGAGTTTTCCTGATTTCTTTCTCAGCAGATCACTATTAGAGTATAGGAAATCTACTTATTTGTGAATATTGATCTTGCATCCTGCTAATTTTCTGAATTCATTTATCAGCCCTAGAGATCTTCTGGTGGAGTTTTTTGGGTCTTCTAGTTATGGGATTATGTCACCAGCAAACAGAGATAATTTCATTTCTTTTCCTATTTGTATCCTTTTAATTTCCTTCTCTTGACCAATAACTCTGGATAGCATTTCAAGGGTTATTTTGGATAGGACTGGTGATAATGGACACAGTTGTGCTGTTCTTAATTTTAGAATGCCTTCAGTATGATCCTGGCTTTAGGTTTATCATATATAGCCTTTATGTTGAGGTAAGCTCCTTCTATGCTAGACATTCTAACATTTTAACATAAATGGGTACTAAATTTTATCAAAGATCTTTTCAGTATCTATTGAGATAATAGGATGATTATTGTTCTTAATTCTATTTATACTGTGAATGACATTTATTGATTTGCATATGTTGAACCACACTTGCATCTCTGGGATGAAACATACTTAATCATGGTATACTATCTTTTTGATATGCTTTTGGATCAATTTGCTAATATTTGATTAAGTATCTTTATAGTTATGTTCATAAGGGAAATTGGGCTGTAGTTTTTTTTTTTTCCCTTTGATGTGTCTTTGTCTGGTTTTGATGATTTCACAGAATGTATTTGGGGGCGATCCCTCCTTTTCAATTTCATGGAATAATTTGAGAAAGACCGATGTTTGTTCTTCTATAAAGTTCTGATAGAACTCAATTGAGACTCCATCTGGCCTGGGGTTTTTCTTTATTGGAAGAGTTTTAATTGCTGTTTCATTTTCATTGCTTGATATTGATCTGTTTAGGTCTTCTTTATCTTCCTGGTTCAATCTGGGCAAGTAACATGTGTCTAAAAAATTGTCAATTTCTTCTAGATTTTACAGTTTATGGAGTACAAATTCTCAAAATAGTTTCTGATGAGCCTCTGGATTTCAAAAATGTTTGTGATATATCTTTTTCATCTTTAATTTTGTTTATTTGTATCTTCTCAAAGAACCGTTGGTCCTTTTTTATAGGATCCTTTATATTCCTTGATCATTTATATTATTTTTATCTCAATTTCATTAATTTCAGCTCTGATCATAATTATTTCCTATCATCTACTGTGTAGGGCATTTGGCTTTTCTTCTTCTTCTAAGTCCTTGAGGTGAAGCCCTAGGTAACTTATTTGGGATCATTATTTTTAATATGGACACTCATTGCTATAAACTTTCCTCTTATAACTGACTTTATACTGTCCCAGAGAGTTTGATATGTTGTATCTATGTTCTCCTTTGTTTCTAAAAGTTTGTTGATTTTCTCCTTTCTTCTGCGACCCATTCATCTTTTAAAACAGTATTGTTAGATCTTTGTTTTTCTGTGGTTTCTATATTTTTCCTGCTATTTATTCCTAGTTTCATTCCATTATGATCCAATAGGCTGCATGGGGGTATATCATCTGTTTGGTATTTGTTAAGATTTACATTGTGACACAGAATATGGTCTATTTTGAAAAGGTTCCATGAGCTGCTGAGAAGAAAGTAAATTTAGCTTTTTTGGGGGGTGATATATTGTGTACATGTCTGTTAAGTCAATTTGATTTAAAGAATTATTTAGGTTGAAAATATCTGTATTGATTTTGTATTAATGATCTATTTGTGATAAGGGTGTGTTGAAATCACCCAGCATAGTTTATTGGGGTATATTTGGGATTTTATGTCAGGAACTGTTTTTAATATAATTCATTGCACTGACATTTGGAGCATAAATATTTGCTATAATTTTATCTAATTTTAGATTATTCCCTTTGTCAGTATGTACCGACTTTTATCTGTTGTGATTAATATTTGCTTAAAATCTGATGTGTCAGACATAAGAAAAGCTATTCCTGCTTGTATTTGGACTCTGTTTGCATGGAATATTTCTTTCCATCTTTTTACTTTCAGCCTATGAGTGTCTTTGCCTATGAGAAGAGTCTTTGGCAAACAGCATAATGTTGCAACTTTTTTTGTAAACACATTCTGCCCATTTCTGTCTCTTAATTAGGGAGTTGAAACCATTTACACTCAGTGTTATTATGGATAGATTTTTTTTTTATTTCTTGCCATTTTTGTTTGCTATATTTAATATGGTCTTGATTTTCATTCCATTAGTGGCTCTTCTAGTAAGCTTCAACCATTTGGGAACGTTGGGGTTTGTGAATTCTTCTGTGTGTAATATATCTAAGTATTCTTTGTAGTCCTGGCTTAGTAGTCATGAATTCTTTAGTTTATCCTTATGATGGAAAGTTTTTATCTCTTCATCAATTCTGAAACATAGCTTTACTAGATATCACAATGTTGGTTGGCAATTGTTTTGTTTTAGAGCTTGGAATATCTCATTCCAGGCACTCCTTGATTTTAGTGTCTGAATTTAAAGTCAGAAGTGATGCTTATTGGGCTGCCTCTAAATGTGACCTGATGGTTTTTCTCTTGCAACTTTTAATATTCTTTCCTTATTTTCTATGTTAGTCATTTTGATTCTGATGTGTCTTGAAGAGATTCTGTTTCCATCTCATCTATTTCAAACTCTATATGTTCCTGTATGTGAATGTCTATCTCATTTTTGAGGTGAGGGAAATTTTCTGCCACTGTCTCACTGAAGAGGTTCTTAATGCCTTTGACTTTTATCTCCATGTTCTGTTCTATATCAGTTACAATCATATTTGGACTCTTGATGTTTTCCCAGAGTTCTCATATATTTCGATCATAGTCTTTCAATTTTTTTCATTTGTTGCATAGTGAGTATTCCAGTTCATATACCCTGTCTACAAAGCCTGAAGTTCTATTTTCTAGGTAACCTTTCTGCTGGTGATGCTTTTCTTAATTAATTGTGTCTTTCCTTTTCAGGAGTTCTTATTGGTTTCTTTTCAATCTATTTCTTTATTGAAATGAACTTTCTCCTCCTGTATTTGCTCTCTTAATTTATTCCTTAGGTCTTCTTTTAGTTCACTGAACATTTAAATATTCATTTTTTAATAGTTTGTCTCTGCAATTTCATTCACCTCCATATCCACAGATTCATTTATTGGGAAACTGTGAATTTAGGGGCAAAATTTATTTGCCCGCTTCCTCATGTTTTCAGAGATCTTGGGCTTGCACATAGGCATATAAGTTGAGATGGATTCTTCTTCCTCTTTTATATATGTGTCCTTTGGTGTATAATTATCTTTTTTTCTCTAGGTACTTCTCTTTGATTTTTCTGTAAATGTGCAGAAGTGGAATCTGAGGTCCTCCCTTTAGCTAACTCCCACTTGGAGCCTAGTTATTGGTTTGGGGTTTTTCTCTTCTCTATTTTATGTTAAAGTATTATTGGGGCTCTAGTGGGACAAGTTCATATGTGGAGTGAGGGTCATTGTTACTTGGCTGAGTTGTGAGTGTTGCTCAGAAGCAGCATCCCCACTCTGTGAATTTGAAATTTCTTACTTCCCAGCCCCTCTCAGAGAAAGGGGGAACAAGGAGTAGCATTAATATAGCAACTAATGCACATCCTTAAAATAAATATTTGGTGTCTATTTTGACATCTATAACACTAATTGCTATGTGTAAACTAATTGGTGGGGTCACATTCAATACCAGCACTAATAATATGCAATCATGAACTAGATCAGATATTAACCAACAGGTGTCTGTTATGTTGTACACAATCACAACATGAATGGGGTATAGATTATATAATTATCTCATATAGTGGAATTACATTTCCTTAAGTGATAAAAAAATATTGCAGGAAGGCAAGAGAAAGTTTGAAATATCTAAAAAGATAACAGAAGAGAAGCAGGAGTTAGCAGAAGATGGCTAAAAAGAGAGAGGAGGAAGAAATAACTAAAAGTAATTTTAAAAGAGTGAAAGAGGGAAGAGGAAAATTTGGTTATTAGTGGGGGAAGAGAGTGAAGAAGGGGAAATAAGAGAAACAAAAACCAATATATGAACAAACAAATATAAATATTATAACAAACCAACTCATGCAAAATTTTACCTCACCAAAGTCAAACCAAGGCCACGGCTAAATGATAAATGCATGAAGAAGACAGAAATCAAAATGAAAGAAAATTATATGAATATGTTATGTATAAAATAGACACCACATACATTCAAACCTCTCCATGCCAGTGAGAAGACTCACACATAAACACATATCCCAACACACATAATTATGCAAAACGAAAAAATGTACAATAAAAAAATGAACAAAATTTAAACTTAAAAAAGAGGGAAAAGTGGGGAGAAATAGGACAAATATAACCATCTCTCTTTGTTTACTATTTACATATGAAAATATATTTTCATATTCAAACTAATTTTGTTTCTTTAAATCCCCAATGCTTCAGGTGTCCTCTTTCCCACAGCTTTTCCCAGTGAGGCTCATACCAAAGCTCTCATGGGTTGCAGTCATATGCTGGTGGCTCTACAATTCTACAGTATCAGAGGTGAACCTACTCACGTGGGTTCACTAAATATTGACTGTCCTAATTTAGTGGGGTCTCCTTCTGAGCTTCTCAGAACGATGTCAGTGTAAGCCCAGAGCTCCAGGCCCCAGTATCAGAGTAGGTCCCCCAACTACTCACCCACACAGGACTTGATTACTGGGCACCCAAGTGGGACCTTCAGCACCCACACAGAACGTTTGGTTACCCACCTGAACAGAAATCACCGATGCCACTCCCATGCAAGACACCTGGCAGCTTCCCACACACAGGAATTCTGGCAGCCACTCCTGTGTGGACCCTCATCTACCAACGTGGGGCTCCTCCCAGTCACTGCCATGTTGGGACTCTGCAGCAGTGGAGATAGTCCCCTGTGCACAGTAGCCTGCCTGCACCCAAGAACTTCATACAGGCTCTGAAGTCAGCTGACAGTCACACATTGCACACCACAGAGCTCATCTCTGAACTCATCCTCCAATGCCATTGATCGGTTCCCCCCATCTGACCTGATACTCCACCACTGAAAGCTGGCGCCTCCATCTTGGGTCACCTTCATCACCATCTTCAGTGGGGGGCTGCATGGGCTCTCTCTCGTCCAGTGAGAAGGTCCATGGAACAGGATGGAGGAGAATGTGGCTGCAGAGTCGCTATTCAAGACCTCCAGAGATCAAGCAGGAAGCAGGTCTGATTTTATTGCACAGTTACCATGTATATATAATCCCAGGCAGTAGCTAAGCAGATTATAGGCAGCCACCAATACACTTTCTTGCTTAATGTCCTTGAAGCAACAAATCGAGGAGTGGGCCATGGAGCAAGTGCCAGGACTGCAACATATGGCCTCACATCTAGGACTGTGCCTAAGGGGTAAGTGGTCTGCTGCTCATGAGCCCATAACATATGCCATGTATGAAGTTCTCTATGTACTCGTCCCCTCCCAATTTGGAACTCTGGCTGGCCAGGTACCCAATGTCTAACTCCACCCTCTCCTCAACAGTCACTACCCTCGCACAGTGACACCCTGGTTACCTTCACCATCCTGATGGCAAAGATACCAGCTAACAACAGAAGATCCCACCTATTGGATGAGAAGGGAAACAGTAAAGATACAAATCTCTAACCAAAACAAGCCCTATGTTTTCCTTCAAGATTTTCTTCCCTCTCCCTCTTTTTTCTCCCACTCTCACATCCCCAACATTTGTGAAACCATGTACTTTTCATTAATTAGGATTTTGAGGACTGGGATGTCTGAATAGTATATTATAGTTATGTTGTATATTCTTTTTCCCCCAATTTCTACTATTTCAACATTTTTTATTTTTCTTATTATAAATGTGTTTGTTTTATGTACTCTACTGTCTTCCCACAAACTTATCTACCCAAAATTACTTCCTCTCCCTTCTCCTGCTACTAATCTTCCTCTTTAGATTTCTCTTTCACACTTCCTAAGATATAACAACTCTATATACTCACCTCCTACTCCTCAGCATATCATCCCACTCCTCACCCCTGGTTCTTTGTCCACATTCATAAACTATAAACCCTTTTACAAACCAACTGAGTATATTTTAGATAATAATTGAATTCACCATTTCTGTACATGGTGACCAACTGTAAATGTCTTAATAGCAAACATTTGTATTTAGGGTGTATACTGTTTAAATTGGGATCTGATAACATTGTCCTTCACCTCAAAGGAGAGGTATTGGATCCCTATAGGGGCACAATAAGCCTATAGGGTAAAAAATGGTAATGCCTAGGATCCACCGTGCTAGAAGGGAAGACACACAAGCAATGTGAAAAGACAAGGGAAGAAAGTGCCCCAAACAAATCAAGATACCACATTATTAAATTCATGGCCAGTACAGAAGAAGAAATTACAGAGGAGTTCAGGATGTACATAATTAAAATGTTCTGCAAATTAATGAATTGAGCAAATACAGGCAGCAAAAGATCATTTTGGCAAACAGCTACATAAACAAATATAGGAATAAAAGATTACTTCAATAGAAAGATAGAGGTTCTAAAGAAAAACCAAACAGAAATCCTTGAAATGAAAGAAACAATAAACCAAATTAAAAGTTCAATTGAAAGCATCCCCAACAGATTAGACCAGTTGGAAGACAATGAAGGTAAAATGCATAATCTTGAAAAGAATGTAGACCACACAGTAAAAATGATAAGAAATCATGAGCAGAACATTCAAGAAATATGGGATAGCATAAAAGACCAAATTTAAGAGTTACTGGGATGGAGAAACGAATAGAGTTCCAAACCAAAGGAATGAACTGTAGTATTTTGACCATGGAAATAGGGAAGCATTCCCCTAGTGAGCAAACTCCCAGGGGGTAACTGGCGCCATGATTCTCAAGATTGAAATGCCCAGCAGTTTCCCCCTGAGCTATTAAGATAACTATGCAAGTGCACTACCTGGTTTCCATAGTAACATCCTTGGATGTGAGGGCCTCTGTGTTGTATTAACCTGGACCTTATTTCAGTTAGCTAACACCCAGGGTTAAAGGAATACTAGTTAGAGTGTAGTCATGGTGATGGGTAAAATGTAACCTTTTTTGAGTTAATAAACTCTCGGCAAGAGGGAGGATGGACAATTCTTCTTCCTCACTTCTTCACTTCACTCTTCTCCATGCCCCCTTTTGTCTGCCACCTTTCCCTGCCTCCTTGTACCCTGTGTGTACCTGTGTTCTTTTGTTTGTCTCTTCACAGGTGTTCTTTACAATGAACAATCTATTCAATGAAATCATATCAGAAAATTTTCCAAACATGAAGAATAAATTGGAAAATCAAATTCAAGAGGCTTACAGAACGCCAAATGTAAAAAAAATCATAACAAATCCATACCAAGGCACATTATAATGAAAATTATTTTCATATAGAATATGTTATTATTCTAACATAAAGAATAAGGAGAATATTAAAAGTCACAAGAGAAATGAATCAGATTATATATAGGGGGAAACCAATTAGATTATGTGCATATTTTTCAACCCAAACCCTGACAGCTAGAAGATCCTGGAACAACATATATCAAGCTCTGAAAGAAAATGGGCCAACCAAGAATCTTATATCCAGCAAAATTAAGCTTTAGATTAGATATAAAAGCCTTCCATGATAAACAAAAATTAAAAGAATTTTAAACTCAAAAGCCTATTCTACAGAACAGAACATTCTAGGCAAAATATTTCATGAAGAGGAATTGAAAAACAACAATGAAAATCAGCAAAGGGAGGTATTACACTAAAAAACAACAACAAAAAACAACAACAACAAGAACAAAAAAAACTAATCAAAGGAGAAACCAAGTCAAGTTAAATACTAAAAATAAACAAAAAATATTTGGGACTATAAATCATGTCTCAATAATAACCCTGAATGTTAATGGCCTACACTCACCAATCAAAAGACATAGACTAAGGGCTGGGATTGTGGCTCAGCGGTAGAGCGCTCGCCTCGCACCGGGCGGTACCAGATTTGATCCTCAGCACCACATAAAAATAAAGGCATTGTGTTGTATCCATCTACACCTAAAAAATAAATGTTAAAAAAAAGAGTTAAAAGAAAAGACATAGACTAGCAGATTGGAATTATAAAAAGAAAAAAAGACCCAACAATATGCTGCCTCCAAGAGACTCATCATTGGAAAAGACATCCACAAACTGAAGGTGAAAGGTTGGGAAAATCACACCACTCACATGAACTGCTACATTAACAGTTGTTGGTCCATAAATATCCTCAATTCTAGGACCTGATTGAGAGTCCATGATACTATTCAAATGAATATTGTCTTCAGTTGACTAGAACTCTTCCACTTTTGAAGATCAACTCATGATTTAGTAGATTGTCCATCTATTCTTTTTAGCAATACCTCTCTCTGCTCTCCATTTTGGAAAGTATTTGTTCATTGAAGGATGAAATATTCCATATATGTCAGTTAAGTCTAAGTTATTGATTGTATTATTGAGTTCTATAGTTTCTTTGTTCAGCTTTTGTTTGGAAGACCTATCTAGTGGTGAAAGAGGTGTGTTAAAGTCACCCAAATTATTGTGTTGTGGTCTATTTGACTCTTGAACTTAATAAGAGGTTTTTGATGAACAAAGATGTTCCATTGTTTGGGACATATAAGTTTATTATTGTTATTTTTTGTTGATGAATGTTTCCCTTAAGCAATATGAAATATCCTTCTTTATCCCTTTTGATTAACTTTGGCTTGAAGTCTACTTTATTTGATATGAGGATGGAAACCCCTGCTTGCTTCTGAGTCCATGTGAGTGCCATGATTTTTCCCAACCTTTCACCTCCTACAACCACAATTGTACTTGTCTTTAGTGATTAACTGCCACTACATGGACCTGCAACCCAGGACCCAATTATCACCATTACATTTTTGGATCCCACTTCATTAGCAGCAGTTGCCAATATAGTTTCTGACCTACAAAATTGTAGAACTCTTCAAGGATGCTGAAGTTGTTCTAATGAATTTACTTCCCATAGTTATAGTGAAACTTGTGTCCCGATACTTCCCAAGGGTGGATAAGCACTTCTTACATGATAAATCCATCCAAATATTCTGATCCTCCTAAGTGTTTGGATGCCTTCCTCTATAGTTTACCAAGGCAATCCTGTCATTAAGCTCATTTAGTGTAGGTTATCTTTTGGTCCATGTGTGAACAAACTAACCAAACACATTCTTAGAGCTTTTATAACTTTTCAAGTAAAACATTACATCCAGAAAGTGGACTGATAGCCTCAAATTTTATCTGATCTAATTTTATGATTCTTCCATTATCATCTCACACCCTTAATATCCATTTCACACATATTCCTCAAATTTGTGTCCATATAAACTGGAAAAAAATCATGAAGGTTTTATTGGAGTGCAGACACTTCCATCTGGATCATACTTTATACATCGCCATTTAGGACCTGATAGGAATTGCAAGTCTGCTCTTATTCTTACTCTCATTAGTTAAAACAGAAAGAACTCTCAGATAGTTACCTATAATTCAGGAGGACATATCTCAAAGAATAATCCTCATGAATGCCAATTTTTCCAAACATACACAAATTACACATTCAAAGCAACTGACAGATATGGATATATCACAATTTATTCATATTTAAAACAGAGAAGCCCAGTTGGTAAGTATATATGCTAATAAAATCAACGTGATAAGTTTGAGTCCCAACAGAGAAGGTTTTCTTTCTGTGTATGCCATGGCATGTATTGCATTCTTCTCCCTAGGCAAACTAGCATTGCAGAAGAAAAATTGACTGCAATAAGATGAGCAGAAACAATTAGATCTACTGGACAAGGTGCTTCAAGTACACTGATAGGTTTTAGTTATCTATCTGTAATAAAACTATATAAATACACAGTACAAAGAAGTATTTTTAAGGCACTAGCTTATGCTATGTACTCTAGATATCTAAAAACTATTCAGAAGCATGTTCTTGTTTTAAATTCTTTGGAAACTTCTTCCATACCCTCATATTATTAACTTAACTATGATTTGTGCCTTTGAATCCAAGGAAGCATTGACTCTTAAATTATCAGAAATTGATGTGTTATTGAATTTTGAGCACCAGGCTGGTGTTTGTTTCAGTTTGAGACAGCAAGCTGAGAGAAAAAAAATCCTCAAATAACTTAAATC